AAAGTGCTTCTAGGTTGATCTTTTCTTTAGAAAACGATAGATTTACAAATTTAGCATAAAATATTTACTGGATACCTACTATGCACCTGTCTGCACAGAAGTACAAACAACATAACCCTAAATATACTATCTCACAGAAAAGCTACATTATGACTTCAAGAGACTGCATTCATTTAAATCAAACGATCACTTCACCCCATCACAAGGCAAATTTAGCATTACTCAAGCACGAGGTCTGAACTCCAATTCAGTACAATCAACTCTCAAAGTTGTTTGAACCTAAACATGGTTTCAACCTTAAAATTAGCAATTTGGCTTGAAATCTATAAATGAAACAGAAACCTGTTTTAGCTAAAATGCTTTACTTCCTCTCCTGATGAACCTACTATCAAAACTATGAAAAGAAGCAAAACTCCCTCTTTTAGACTAGTTCCTCCTCTCCTTCGTTCTATGAGTAATATAGATGCCCATGTTACCAGGAACTTGACCACCAAGATAGAAGGGGCCAAAAGCCCACTGAGGCCTTTACAACCCAACAACCAGAGATCATACCCCAAGTGTTGAACATCCTCCCATTTTCTTAAAGACGCAAGATGTTGTTCCCTCTCTATGGAAGTCAGGGAACAACAAGGGAAAATTAAGACTGCTGGGCTCAAGAAGCTGAGAATAAAGCAGGGAAAAACAGCAGCTACTCAACCACTCCTTCTAGGAAAATTGCAACACTTCTTCCCATCTGTCAAAAAAGGCCAAAGTTTTAACAGCTATCACAAAAACAATAGCTGACTCAAAGTAAAAACAACAAATAAAAGTGGTAATTTTAGTCAATGTTTTGCTCACAGCCCAGACATCCCTTAACGCTAATTAATGAGTCACAAAAAAAAAATCTCCTTCAGATAAAGAGGATTGCAACATCTCCCCAACAAAAGTATTTGTTTAGGCCCTAATAATAGTGTTGATCTGGGAACAACACACTCAATTCAATTAAAAAAACAACAAACGTAAGCTTTCAGACCAGGTGAAGTCCTGAGTGTCTGTGCCAATCGATGTATAGGAAATAAGCCTGGGTCTTAGTGAAATAAGCTGGGCAGGAGTCCTGTAGGACTGCTGGACTCAGGAGGGAGTGGAGGAGACCAGAGGCTTTCACGTCCTTGCAATCCTCCTAAATGCCTGATTGCCACCTCTGTCAAAGTTCCATCATTTCCCAAAAGCCACAGATCTCAAACATTATACTCCAAGAAATGAAACAAACTCCCTTATACACACCTGTGGAAACCCCAGCAACAAGTGCTATAGTTTATAAATAGAGTACACTGGAGTGTGAAGAAGCAGGCAAGATCTTATTTTTCTATCATTCTTAACATGCACAGATTTCAGAAAGCAAGAGAAAAAACAATTCGGGGATTGAGGTCAATTTTCATTAAAGATCAACTATGTTGGACTCCTTAAAAAGTAACAGAGATGTAAAGCATTTCACCATATTTTTCTACATGTATTAACCTTTCACAATAAAAGCTAAAAAAAAACAGAAGGCATAAAAGTCCCCCACCTCTCAATGTCTTTCAATCAAATACTTATTTAAAGACATTCTCACTTACTCACTTGATAAGTGTTATCTGGGCATAAAGTTAAAGTCTGAACTTCACTGTCATATTTTCCATCAGTTTCAATCTCTGAAGAGACCTTCAAGAGTTAACAGTAATCCCTATGGTCATATGCTATACTAGCTATTTAAAGACGGATCATTCATCATACAAAACCTGACTCATTAATTTAATTCTCCAGATGCAAACATAAGACATTAATAAGACATCCTATTGTATACAATGTAGATAGTAAGCAACTTGTGAAATCAGCTTGAAGAAGTGATACAGAATTTCAGGAAGACTTTAATAATGTTTCTCCTTTCCATCTGTTGAAATTCTTACAAGCTACCTCAAAGCATCTTCAGGGCTTTAGGCCCTGGCCAGCCTCTCATTTAGAGTGGAACTGTTATTAACTTTTCTAGCTGAGATTTATTAACCCTAAAATATACACACAAGCTAAAACAGACAAGGCCACCTGTTGCCTCCAGGCTCAAAGGAATTCCTCCCAGAAGCACAGGGGAAAGCCTTCTAAAGGCGATCTCAGAGGCAGGCAGCTGCTCCAGGGTGAGAGAAACTGGAGCCCCCGAGTTGGACCCACTTCCACCCTAAAGTCTGGCCAAGCGGTGGAAAACCGAGTTGTGGGAGAAGAGATAAAGAATGAAAGCCAGAATAACTTCTAGCAAATAGACTGCTCTCCATCTTGGAATGTTTTAAAACTTATCTTGCTTACAAGATAGACCATATCCCTTTCTGAAGGTTCCATATTAACTGAAAGAAACTAAAATGGACAATTCAGAGGAAATCAATCCCTTTCTAGATAAATTATTCTACTAGACACCAAAAAATGATATACAGTGACTGACTAGCTTGGTTCTATTAAAACTAAGGAATTCAGTACCCAAACACACCAAAGAAATACAGTATAATGCAACCTAGTTTTGCTATATTTGGTGTTCTCCTCAAAATAAGGTTTTCATGGGAGTTAGAAGTAGTGAGAAAAATAAAATTCAACTCAAATGCTGGATGCTGTGCTGCATAATGGTTTTCACTACAATGTTTAGCTCTAAAGTGAGCTAGAAGACATTCTGGGACAGGTATAAATCTCAAGCATTAAATGTTTCAGAAAAAGGAACACATTCATTAGAGGTTGATAATAAAAGTTCCTTAAAAAAAAGAAAAGTCATAAGCTAAGGAGCCACAGAGCAATATGCTCTATCTTCTACAACAGATCTTTCTACAAAGACGACTCAGGCCTAAATAGTAGGCAAAAAATTACTAAGAGGCAGTACAGCGTAGTGGCTCACAGCCTAGACTCCAAAGGCCACCTGCTCAAATCTTAGCTGTTAGCTGTGTAACTTCAGGCAAATTAATCTCTCTGTGCCTCAGTTTCCTCACCTACTGGGTGGTGGTTTCAGAAACTGACTTTATTTGTGTAATACATAGGCTGACATAGAAAAGTTAGGCTTACAGAGCGTTTAATCCCGTCCACCTGCTTGGGGATTCAGTGGCTTCCCAAGACTAAATTAGCAAAGGATGCCTTCATCTTCCTGACGGCAAATCCAGTACTGACAATCTGAGAAAAGCAACCTTAGGTAAAAGAGCTCCGCCTTCCAAACCCTCTCCCCTTGCACAAAAACAGAATACACACAGGGCCTTCTCTTCCAGCAGCCACTGTCAATTTCCATCAAATGCTTACACTCTAAGCAGAACTTCAGCCCCTTGACAAGGACTAGGGCTGGATATTAAAATACTGAAATTAACTCTGCCTAAAATTTACCAGTAACTGAATGAATCACTTCTTTAGAAATAGTAAAATGTCAAGGTTGCCAGAGAACTCCAGCCCCAGATGTTTGCATAAATCATGTCCAAGTGATCACCAAGCCATAGCCAAAGGACATTATTCAAGATAACACTTTAAGTAAAATATATCAGCTTTTATGATTTTTCCTGTAATGGAGAAAATTCTGACAATGGAGTTACTGGCAAAAAGAAATCACAGCAAGTTTAGGCCTCAAATTATACAACAGATGAAACCAGGCTTAGACCTTAGAACTCGTTTTGCTCTGGCTTCACAGAGTTTATTTTTTTCAACTGTTTTATCCAATCTCATCAACGAGCACTGGACAAACTCTAAACTCAACATTTAAAGATATCCCATACAGCTTATATCACCGTATTTCTCTCTATCATACTACCCAGGAGAAGCGAAGGCTTTTAAAATTTGATGCATCTGTTTGCAACAAGATTTTTAATACCTCCACAGGAAAATATTTTGAGTGCTCTATATTAATGAAAGCTACCAAGGGGTCTTTTTTTCACTTCCATAATAATTCAAGTAAAGTTTGTAGTTTAATTTGAATTAAACTCAAGCCATTTGCTGTAGCATATCACAAGAACAAATGGCGAGGATATTCTGTTTATTTAAACTGTCACAAAAGAAAACACATTAAAACGTCAGCTTGTTCAAGTCCTACATTTCTTTATCCCTAAGTCAAGTAATCGTTAGATCGGCCTGTGAGGATTCTGAGTTCTTCGGGTTCATTCATTACAGAGGATACTACACAACACCCAGTTTTACTAAAATTTCTGAAGTGTACCGGTCGCTGGAAAATAACTTGAAACTGAAATTGCACACAGGGCGCGGTATCCTTCCAAACAAAACCGATCGTGTCCTTTTGCTTATTTTTAGTAACTTTAAATAAAAGACTTAAGACGGGTCGTTTTCCCAACTCGTTTGACAATTTGGCCACTAGGCGCAAGACTGAGCGCCCCACAGCTTCCGGCCAGAGTATAACACGCGCTTCCCCGTTAGGCTCCCACGTCTGCTCCAAACAAACCCGATGTAAAAGCTGACGAATGACGACACCAAAATCAACCCAACAGATTCACATCTAAGTGGACTGCAACACAAAATAAACTTTTGTTTATCTCTCAAGAAACAGTGAGGGGGAAAAAACCGCTCAGATGGAGTCTGTTTGATCCATTTCCGCGACTGGGTGCGCGCAGTCGGTCTGTGCAGCTTAACCCTGTGCGGGCCGAGGGGCTACCCACGCTGGCCAAGGAGCGCCTCATGCTGCGCCCGGTCCCCGGCCAGCAGGTGCCCAAGGCCACCCAGACAGGCCCGGGGGCGAGTGCGGGGACATGGCCACTTCCCCTGAGCACGACCCAGCCACCGCAAGCCGCCCGGCACTTTGTTAACTCGGCGCGCCCAGGAGGAGGAGGCTCCGGGGTCGCGGTCACCGCCGTTGGAGCGCCGCAGAGCCCGGGCTGGAGGCGGCTCAGACGCTCCTCCAGTTCGGCCTCGCCCTCCCCCGGCGCGGGGCCGCGGCGGGAGAGAGAGGTCGCCGAGCGGCGGGTAACGACGGGCCCTCAAGCCTACCCTCTCGGAGCCCCGCGCCCGGCTCTCCCCGTCCTTACCTGGGGAAAGGAGCCCTCGCGGCGCGGGCTCTTGGGATAGTCTAAGTGACCCCGGTCCAGCATCAGGTAGAGCGAGAAGATCACCACACAGAAGATCGCGCTGCCGAACACAGTGAACTGACGGCTTAACTTCATTTTTCCTCGAGAGACTGGGGGCCAGGACACTGTCCTCACCCGGAGGACGAGGCGGGCTGTGGACTCCTGGAAGCGGCCGCCGAAGGCTCCCTGCTCCCGGGCTCCTGTTTTCCGCGCTCTCGGCGGCGGGTGAGGATCCGGGCCGCACTCTGCACCTTGTCTCCGGCGCCACTAGGCGACCTCGGCCTTCGCCCGGGCCGCCGCCCTCCCTGGGGCCGGGCGTCCCTCCTGAGGCGGGACCCGCCTGCAGCCCGGAAGGGGCCCCGCAAACTTGATCTCGAGCTCTGCGCCGCTACCAGGCAGGGTGCGCGGGGCAGGCAGAGGAGAGGTCGCTGCCTGGACTTCCTGCCACCGCCGCCCGACCGAGTCGGCAGGAAAAGTTTTCTCGACGAGGGCAGGCGTGTCCTCCTCACCGAGGAGGCGCGGGCTCGGCGGCTCCGGGGCTGGCGGCGCCAAGCTCCGTCCGAGGAGCCGAGGGGAGAGGAATCAGGTCGGGAGGAGCCGAGCCCCACAACTTAGGGCCGGGACGGCCGGGCCCGCCCCCGCAGCGCTGCCCCCGCCTCCCTCGACTGAGCCCCTTCCTGCCGCCGCTGAGGCCGGGTCGGGGTGCACCCTGGGCGCGAGGATGCACTGATCGGGCTGGAGTTTCCTCCGAGCGCGCGTCCGCCCGCCGGCCTCTCCAGCCCCCGGCCGCCTCTTTCTCTCCCTTTCGGACCGGGGCTGCGCGGGCAGGGCGCAGGGGGCGGGCGACGACGGCGCGAGGAGGAGGAAAAGGAGAGCAAGGGGAGGACCGTCCCCGGAGAGAAGCCCGCTCCAGCTGCAGCCGCGAGTCCCCCTCCCTCGTTCCCGCCCCGCAAACGTGGAGATGGCGGCGGCGGCGGCGGCTGCGAAAGGAAGCGCCGGTTCTCCAGCGCTACTCGGCGCTCGTGCACCGCCTGCCACGAGCAGGAGGAGACAGCGGCAGCACGGCAGCCGCTGGGTCAATAGGCGCCCGCAGCCTCGGAGCCGAGCAGGCGGCTGGCCCCGCCCCCTCCCGACGCACCGGGATGAAGGGGCGGGCTCCCCGGCGGCCAATCACAGCGCGTCGCCCGCCGGGCCCGCCTCCTTGCGCCCCAGGCGGTGGGAAGACCTCAGGAGGTTTTGTGACCTGGAAGGCAGCGTTGCTGGAATTGAGGCCCTCAAAGGCCAGGCGCCAGCAGCCCACGTTCCACAGGGGCTGAGCTTTCTCCCCACTTCTTTTTCACTGCCTAAGTTTCTGTTCTTGAGGACTGGGGCGTATAGTGCCTTGGTGGGAAACTTGGTGAGGAGCCTTAGGAAAGGAATGAGGAGAAGGGGGCTGCGAATTCTCTTCGGACTCATCTTTTCCTCCGTTGCTTTTGGTGACTTCCAGGTGAAACCTCGGGGAAGGGAGCCCACCAAAGGACCCTCCAGGCAGGTGTAGACATTTGGCTGCAAAATCTGTGAGAGGAACCTGAGAAGTGATGCTTGTGCCAGTTGATTTATTGTACTCAACTCCAAATTCACCCTTTTTGACTGCACTATGAAAATGGATCTGGGCCTTTTTAAGTAAGTTTTCCTTTGCGAGCTGGGGCTGAAGCTTTGTCAGTAGAGGGCACTGAAGAGACATTACAGGAAGAAAAGGGGTTCGCTTTCTGGTTTTCGTGTATTGGTAGGTAGGCTCTTTCAGTATACCTGGCTTTCTCCAGTGCCAAGCTCCTATGGGGGGCCAGCAGTTTCCTCCCACATCCCCAACTCTAGTGGCTTTGTAGTGGAAGGCCCTTATGGTAAGACACTACCCCATGAATAGCTTTCCAGGCACCCAACAGACAAGATTGGTAGCAAGTTCCAGAGGGCAGATTTTCAATAAGTTCTGCAGATGTGGTATCACAGTGACTTCTCTGCCATTCAGTGAGGCAGGCTGTGCCTTCTCCAATAAGGTCTGGCTCTTACTCGCTCTAGAGAGGGTGGGGGAGCTCTTCATTAGCTCTTTATAGCTCCTATATCTATATTCTCCAAGATTTTCTTCTCACTGATGAGTCCTTCATTACTCTAATCCCTTGTTATAATTAATAATAATTTTTTTAAGCTTTACCTGTCCCAGGAGTAGTCCCAAAAGATACACCTGCGAAGATGGGATTAGGAGTTTGGTTCTCTTGGGCCTTTGGGCTTGGACTCAGTGCTGAGCTCCTTGCCAAAGGGAAATACGATGCTAGTAATTCATGGCTCACAGGGCATCCCAGTTCATCAGTCAGTCACCTGTGGCTGATTGTGATGAAGTACCAGCTGACGCACATACCTTGGGGGCCCAAGTGGCAACTGCATTTGACTGTATGACTCTAAGGTGACTCTAAGAACTATGGTGTGAGATGGATTCTTTTGAGTTCCTTTGATTGCTTACAAAGAGAAATGACAAGTACAGTTCAGTCTTATGGGATGAGAACCAGAGAGCTTCCATAATAATTCTAAAAGAAGGTCTTATTTATTGTAGTATCAAAAGTGATATTTCTGAAAATCAAACACAAAATTTTAATTTTCAGTTTATTGAATTATACCTACTGTTGAATTCACAGATTTGCCACGTTTCTCATGTAAAAGTTAGAGTGTTGATTGTTAAATAATAGGATATCAAAACTTTGAATGGGTTGGACCCAGAAACACAATCTAGAACCTCCAAGTCACTCTGAGCCTCTCTTACCATTGGAAGTAGGTTGCCCTCCTGTGCCTGAGGAGGTAGGCTTCCTCTCCTTGAAAACCTGTGACAACCTAACCTGGGGCAGATGCCTTGAGAGGGAATTCACATTCTCCTCAAAACCCACCACAATTACCCTCTATGGCCACTATACCTGTAACTAAGGTCTTATCTCAGCATGCTCTTGGGGGGGATAGGTGCACACTATCATGGAGGAAGGAATAACTTACACACCAAAATAACTATAAGACTTTGCTAATATATAGTCAGAAGCCTGGAGAACATGTGTGGGAGTGGATTCTATGGGTGTTAGACCATGGAACATGGAATGTAACACTATATTGAGCCAAATTTATTACTATAGTGTTAGTTGTATGTGTTAGCTCATGCAGCTTGAGGTGGTTCTAACAGCTTACTTGGTTGATTGATGGAAACTTGGACTCAGTGGTGGCCTACAGTTTGTGAGATTGAAATGATGGAGCTTCCCTGACATGATGTGGAAGAGGGAATCCAAAGGTTTAAGGAAATGTTATACTGAACTTATATGCAACCTTCATACCATTCCCCAACTGTGTTCCATGCAAAGGCCCAGAAGATACTCTCTTAACTGAAGAATTAAGGAATACATTAGTGAGAAGAAGAAAAGCATCTTTGAAAATCTCTGTGGATGTTCCCCTCTGTAGGCCATGTGTGACTATAAAGGGTGCTGCTATTGAGATGGGCTCCCTGATTTCAGTAGGGTCACAGGATCCTAGAATAGCAGAGTCCAAGCAGCACTTAACCACCAAAGATAATGTGGGTACATCTACCTTAAAGGACAGCAAGTGTGTACATGCAATCAGACTGCCTTAGCCCACAGAGATGCCCTAGGAACAAAATTTATATGTAGCCTAATAGACTATCGCTTGATATTTATAACAGGAAAAGCTCTAGGTTAGGTAGCCAAGATCTGACAGTGAACAGTCACAGCCTCTTACTCAGTTTTTGGACATAAATCAATTCACAGACCCAGAATCCCTTGATTGAAGAAGAGTCTCTGTCCCCTTTAGGAAGGACCTTGCACCATTGCCACAGTGCACATTGCAGATGTTTCTCCAAGCCTTCACCAAAGAGATGTGTGGCCATTTACTAGAGTGACAGTGCACTGGAGAAAAGGAAATATGCAGATCTTTTGAAGTGTTCTAGACATGGACTCTGAATTGATGTTGATTCCTGGGGACACAAAACACCACTGTGACCCTCCAACTAAAGCTGAAGCTAATCTTGGTCAGTAGATAGATGAAGTTTTAACTCATGTCCAACTCACAGTTGATCCTGTTAGTTCATTTGATCCACACACCAACTGTACGATTATTTTCTCAGTTCTAGAACTGGATTAGACATACTTAGCAGCTGACAGTATCCCCACATTGCCTTTCTTACCCAAGGGGTAAGGCCCATTAAAGTAGGAACAGCTAAATGGAAGCTCCTAGAACTTTCACTCTCTTCCAAGATAATAAACTAGAAGCAATTATGCCACCATAAAAGACTTGAAAGAAACAAGGTGGTGATATCTATCACATTTCCATTTAACTCACCAGTTTGGCCCGTGCAGAAGTCATATGGATCTTAGAGAATGAATGTGACAATTATAAACTTAATCTTGAGGTAATTCCAATTGCAGCTACTGTCCCCGATGCAGTATTTTTATTGGAACAAATCAGCACAGCACCTGACAGTTGGTATACAGCTATTGACTTGGCTAATACCATATTCTCTATACTTATTTATAGAAACCACTGGAAGCAGTTTGCTTTTACCTACAGGGCCAACAGTATGCCATCACAGTATTGCCTCAGTGGTACATCAGTTCTCCTTAAATATAGTCTACAGAGATGTTGATCGTCTTCACATTCCACAAAACATCACACTGGTTCATATTTGTGGTTCATAATGACATTCTGCTGATTGGTTCTGATGAGCAGGTAGTAGTAAGTATTTTAGATGCCTTGGTAAGACACTTTTGGACTAGAGGGCAGGAGATGATAATCATGAATATGCAGTGACCACTCTAAAGTGGTCCCGGCAAGACCCACACCTCAGGGGTAGGAGAAGTCCTAGGATGGTACAAGCTATATAAGGGAGAAGCCACTGAGAGATGAATCCAAGTAAATGGTGTGGGTTATAAATAATGGGGATTGGAAAAAAGTGAAGTGAGAGCTGCAGAGACTGTCCAGACAAATCATGTGGCATGGAAGGAAAGCAACAACCCAGCCGGTAGGAAAGGAATACCATAAACCCTGGAAAGTCAGGAGTTGGGGGAAGAATCATTAACCTTTCTTGGCACTTACCTGTAGGACACCTGGCCTGGTCGCTTATCTCAGAATGCTTTGGTAACCATGAATATCCATTCTTAACTTAGATCCTAGATCCTTAGATCTTTGGACTTAGATCCTTATTCCTTGGATCTTAAACTAGGGACTATTGACCTTCTGGGTGGATGACCTCCACCTGAGATGACAGAACAAGCTTAGTTTTCTAGATATTAATATAGATCCCCTAGCCTGATACTATTGTCAGTCCTTTGTGGTCTCTCTATACCATCTAAGAAGAAAACAAATTCTCTTATGTGCTTTCCATAGACCTTAGCCACTGCTCTGCATTTCTCTGCTGTGTCTATCACTCTCTCCTGACCTTACTGACAAAAATTTAAGCTGTTCCTTTGAACACTGAAGAATCAAACCTTGACCCCCATGTCAGCAAAATGGTTTTGCTGAAGTCACTACAAACCTATCAGCAGACTTTAGTTCACCAGGAGTGGTCCATACAGTAAGGGCTAGGCTGGTTGGCTATGATGGCCAGATCGTCCTCTGCAGAAGCACATCAGCCTGCTTTGCAGGAATTATTTAGTTCTAATAAAGGAGTTTGTCCGTCACAAAGGACACAAAATTGACTCACCCTTTTTGTAATAAATGATGCTTACACTCCTAATACAGTTTATGCCCCCAGTAGGGTACTACTTCTTATGTGGACATTAGACCTCTACTTGCCTAACAAACACAAACCACTCTAAACTCTCGAATGTGAGTGGTTATAGACAAGCATATTGTCCTGGACCTCCTGCTTCCAGTAAAGGTAGAATATAATCAAATACCAACAAGTGCTGCACTTGGATTGATGAATCAGAGAAGGTGGAACAATCTATCTCTCACCTTAGAGAGAAAGCAGTATGGCTTTCTAAGGTCAATCTCAACAGCACCCGAGACATACTTGGCTGGCTTGGCTCTGGATGGGGAGCCTGTTTACAATTTATCCTTCAAGTTGGCCTGATCATCCTGCTAGAAGTCACTCTCATCTGATGTGGCCTAAGACAAAAAAGAAAAGATTTGGTCCAGGCTTCTACAATTAATCAGTACAGTTGGTTACATCATCTAAAGGATGACCTAAACTCCTGAAAATAATTGTTACTTGGACACATCAAAGGTCAGGGGTAGTGTTATTGGGAGACAGCTCTGCCACTACATGACCTTACATGTCTTCACATAAGCCAGACAGGAAAGTCTGACCAGAGTCTTGGTGGAGTGCCCTGCAATTCCTCCTGGAGCAAGGGGAGATGAGCTGCTTATGAGGAAGTGCCAAGAAGAAGCTTGCAGGACTGCCATAAAACCATTTCTCAACCATCTCCCTGGTTTCAGTTGAGCACAGGACTTTCCATTTCATTCAACCCCCCTTCAAATACAGCTTCAAGCTTCTGTCCCAGTCTAGAAACTGCCTGGCTATAGTTTACAGTGGCTTCTCGATAACAGATCAACCCATCATTCCTGTCTCTATCTTCGGGTCCCTCAAGTTCAGTGTTGACCTGTGGGACTAGGGATGTGGGGAAGTGACACCTTGTTTATGTTGCTTTTGCTGTGTAAATAATAAATTGTCTGAATCCAGTTGAGCCTGTTGTCATCTTGCTGGCTGAATCTCTGGAGGTGTGGCAAGCCAGCCTAGTAGCTTCTGTAGTGATCCTTGTGGTTCCGTTAGCCACCACACTGCTTCTTAGGGGCTGCTTGACCCCTTGTTACTTAGAAGGGTAGGGTCTTTATAACCCGAAGGGTGAATAAACCATCCTACTCAGTGGAAAACACTCATGCAGAAAAATAGGGGTGTGCAGAAACAAGACTTTGACATATTGGCGCAACCAAAGGCTGCAGGGATAGAGCAAGTGGAGAGAGAGTTGAAGACAGGAAAAAAGAAGAGTTAACTGAAAGATCAAGGTGGTAGAGAAGAAAATAGAGTCATGGGGATTGATAGCTCTTGTGGAGAGAATCACTCTGGAAAGGAAGAAGACCCCTCCCCCGCACTGAGACTGAAGAAATCAGCCTTCTCCCTGTCCTTTCCTGTCACGGAGCCCCCATTATCTTCTTGTCTATCTCTTACCAGGTCTCCTTACTAATCTTGCCCTACTGTCACCACTTTCTCAATACTCCATGTGTGTGACATTTTTAAAATGTCAATCACGTGTTCTTGCTTATAATCCCTGAGTAGTTTCTCAGCACCTTCAAGTTTGATTCTAATCACATTAGTATGGACCCTAACTCCCTCCAAGTTTGACCTCTGCCTTTCTATCTAGACTTGTCTCCTACCACTCTTCACATATAATATTCTCTCTGGTTACACTGAACAACTTGCTTTCTCCCTGATGAGCCAAGCAGACAGGGCCACTATGTATGGTTGTACAGACCACATGTTGAACATCTCTAAGAGGTGCCATACATATTGCTGATATTGTCAATTTGTGTAGTCATTAGAACTATTTTGTGCAAGATGGCAGTGGAGTGTCTTGTTCTAATAAAATTAATATAATGTGACAATTTTGTGACATACAGAGGTAAAGTACCTTGAAGAAAGGGCCAGTTTTATAAAAACTTGAATACAGGTGCATGTCACATCCTTGGTATAAGTCCTTATGTTTGGAATGTCCTTCACCTGCCTTGTCCACCACCAACAACTCCTACTCATTCCACACAACAAAGTTCAAACACCATATGACTTCAAATATTACGAGATATTTCTTATAACTACTTATATCATTGCCTGGAAATATTTGTGTTCTTATCCCTCCTCTGAATGGTCTAGTGTTGGGTTTTTAATATTCATCTTTATTCATTTTATCCTGAATGAGCACATGAAGTGTTCTGGATCAGAGGCAGACTTATTATTATCTCACAGCAAATAGGAACTGCATGCTCCCCTCTCCCAGCTTGCCCCAGGCCTTACCCATAGAGCGATGTAATGAAAGCCAATGGAAATTGTTTTGCAGGAGTGGCCAGACAAGTCTATAGGCAAGAATAAGGAAAGATGATTTTTCTCTGCTTGTAAATGTGCAGGTGGCAGATGTCCCGCAACTCTCCTGAAAGGATCTTCTCCTTAGTCCAGCTTGTCTCCAAGCTCCAGGGCCTCATTTCTAGATTAATTTAAGTAGCAAGAAAGATGACACTTCGGTCTCTCTAACACATCCAGAACTAAGCTAGGCGCCTATCCCAGGATATAATCTTTTGCTTTGCAGAGGATAAGAGACGTTTCATTCACCCTTTGGATCAGAGAAATTAGCTCTGTCATTGGGGAAAGCAACAGCTACAGAGCTGATCTTTATGGTATGAGAAAATGTATGTAGGAAAAGTGAAAGGAAACGTTCTTTATAGTGCGTGTATTTCTGTGGCTTAGGAGGCCAGAGCTTTTTATACAAACACTGAAAAATGCAGGGAAGTTTTATTTTCCCACATGTAGCAAGTGCATGAGGGCAAGGCCCATATCATAAGAATTCAATCTGGTTCCTTCTTCAGGACACACAGCCTTTGTGATTTGGAGAACATTATATAATTATCTCCAAAGCTCCATTTTCCAATATACCTCATTGGGATAGTAATAGCTATTTTTAAGCATTGCTGTAGGATTACAAGAGGTAACAACTGACATGTTAGGAGAGCATTTCCAAGATACCCTCCATTTTCTCTGGGAAAGGGGAAGATGGGCTCTATGAAGGGCTGAATAGGGTAGAGAATGTTTGAAATAGCTGCTATGGGAAATGGATGAGACTCCACATGGATCACTGGACAGCACTGATTTGTCATAGAGCAAGTATACAATTTTCTCTCCATGACACTGAAGTATGGCGTGAGAGTCCAAGGAAAGTGGGCTGTGAGGATGAGCCAGGAAAGATCTCTTTCTACTAGGATGCAGGAACAATGGCCGTGCAAGGAGTGGTCAGGGCTAGGAGTATATCATACTCTGTCCTTTTCTCTACCCACATAGATATATTTTTGCAGTGGAGATTTATTAAAATGAGCGCTCAAGGTAATCTTGATCAGGAAAAGAACCTAAGGTGAGGTTTCTGGAAGGCGTGAGGTATGGTGCCATGCTTCTAGTGATGAGCGGATCTGTACCTTTACAAGAGCCTCATGTTATACTTGGTAACAACTGGAAAATCTGTCTCTTCCTTTGTCAACTGCTCCTCTAAGTCTAATCTTCAATTGCCTAAATACGTAATATCTAAAGTGAAAGGTTGGAAGGGGATAAGGGACCAAATTCTAAGAACTTTAGAAAATTTTACAATTATGATTGCATAAAACTATAAAGGATGGAGGGTTCAATCATTTTCTCCCTTTGCCTGTTGGGAAAAGCAATTGGCCAAGGACTCTGAGCATCTCTACACATTATTTCTGTGGATGCCAAGAATGCTAGGCCTTGACTAGTCTTTTATTGGGTCATTTCTCAGGGTTGCATTTGCAGCGAGCAACCTTGAGCAAGCAAGTAATACCTTCTCCCAAACAAAGAGCAGTCTTGCTTACCAAACACTGTAAAAGCAGTAAATTCCCTAAGGTCAGTATTCCTTGGTTGTGACAGAAATTCAATGAGTATGTGGCACCCCCCAGCCCCTCCTGTTAGAACCTGTGGGATTTAGGGGACATGGGAAACTAGCATCAACATCACACTCTTGCTGCTTTGACATGTTCCTTTGTTTCTAATCCAGGCATCTCATGTCTTCTGCTGGAAGATCCTGAAACTACTCACCTACTTAAGAGAATCTCCACATTGTTGGCATAATCTTCACCTCTCTGTTCCTTTCCTCCCATGAAAGGAAGTTGAGAGAAAGGATGAGTCAAGTAACATAAGAAACTGCTGAGAAGGTAAGAGAAAGAGAGCTGAAGGGAGTGCCTTTTCCTCATAGTCCTTCTTACTATTTGAAATTATTTATTGACTTATTTTGTGTCTGTCTCTCCAATAGAATGGAAGCTCCTGGAAGTCAGAGACCTTTTGATTCACCAGTGTATCTTAATAAGTAAAGTAGTGTCTAGCAATATCGAGGCTTAATAAATATTTGTTGAATGAATTAATGATTATCTGGGCCCTGAACGACCAGATGGATTTAATTGGTAGTACTCATAATGGGTTTCCCTGGCTCATAATAGAAGTCTGTTTGCTCTTGAGCTGCATTTAAAACTATTCCTCTTGTCTTTTTGAATCAGCACTAAATCTTTGTATTCCTATAAGGTTTCTTTTTAAGTCCTTTAAAGAGAATTTCCCAAAAAAATTATTTTACTAATCATCTCAATCACTAAAGGAAGTCCGTTATGGGGACAGAAAGAAGTGAACACTGTATCAGTGAGTGACCAGTCTATGCTAGGTGCTTTACTTGTATTGCTTCATTTAATTCTCAAAACTCTGCAAGATTAGTATATTAATGTCTATTTTATATATAAGAGAACTTAGATACAGAGAGCTTAGATAACTTGCTTTAGGACACATAGCCACTAAATGGTACAGCTTATTTTTTCTGGCTTCAAAACTCCTTCTCTCTCTGCTACAGCATTCTATATAGCTATGATACTTTATACTTTGTGTTACAGTGAATAGCTTTTCCAAATAACATTTAGGATATGTATCAGTCAGGATTAAGTGTAAAGAAATAGAAAAAATTCTAGGTATTTTAAGTAGGAAGGTATTTAATAGAGGCTTACAAGAATCCTTGTCAGGATTGGAGAAGTGAGTTATAGACTAAGCCTCCAAGAATGAATGATTCCAGTACCATACAGAGTTTACCTCTCAATGGAGCTATTATTGCTGAGGAATACTGGAATACTGGGCTCAATAACATAACCCTATGATAGAAGGTGGAGTCAAAAAGCTACTGCTGTCACAACTGCCACAACTGCTCATTGTCTTCCAGGAGGCTGGATTAATGGACCACGGAACACTGCTGCAGAAAAATGTTTCTATGACCTTAATTATAAGAGAAATACAACCAAAAGTGGTCAGGAGGATGCCCCAACTTCTCTTATGTTTTCTAAATCTTGCATGAGTATATCTAATTGACAGACCTAGTTCATATCCATTGCTGTAAGTGCAAACAAGTCTAGAAAATGTTTTAAGCTTCTAGTCTCTGCCTTATGAAAGCTGCTGTAAGAGGAGGGTGGCATGGATATTGAGCAAGCCAACATGCAGTACTTACCATGGGCAGTATTGGGAGAAACACAAATACTTATATAGAGAGAATGGGTTAAAACTCTGTCCAGGAAAACTTATACTACGTGATTACTTGTTTGAACTCCAAGCTCTTGACATTTAAAATCTTTATGGCTATGATTTATCCTGAGGAAAATATCCTCTATGCACGTGATAATTAAGGCCAATAATATATCTAAATGTGCACATATCAGACATGAGGAAATTATTTGTGATGTAGGATCATCACTTTCATTTTTCTATAGGCCTTTGTTTGCTGACATTGTTATTGGCATTATTTGGGGGAAGAGGAGGCTTATTTCCAGCAGGCCCCAGGCCTTTCTCTGGATTCTCTTTGGCTCTCATTCTCATATGCCAACACAGTTCTCAAATAGGAAGGGCTTAACAATTTAGTGCTATAAAGCTTCAGAGACACTTAGCGCATCCTAACATTTTACATGGAGGGCCCAGAGAAGTAAAAAGATTTGCCCAAGATCTCATGGAGACTGCACCAGAAGCCAAGTTCTCTGGCTCCCTGTCCAAAGCTTTTTTCATCACCACAAACCAAGCCTTAGATTGTGTGCTTCCTAAATACAGAGTTATATCGTGTGTGTGTGTATGTGATTCCATTTACATCAACTTCAATAACAGGGAAAACCAAGCTGTATTTTGGGGGACTCATACTTGCATGTTAAGGTATGAAGCAAAGCAAGGAAGTGTTAACCATCAAAGTCTGGTTAGTGGTGGAGGCCAGGAGTTGTTACTGGGAAAATGCACATGGGGACTTCTGTGGTGATGGCAATGGCTCAGGAAACTCACAGTTTTGTAGGACTTAAGCTTTCTTTTTAAAATACTTTTGAAACCCAATGTAATGTATTTGACTTTCTTGTCTTTAATAACATTTAGTTTTAGTACTTATTATATGATAGAACCAGGCTAAGTGCTTCCCGCATGTTATTTATCTTAACTCTTGCAAGAACACTCTAATAGAGGCACTATTTTTATCCTCATTCTAGAGATAAGCAAACTGAGGCACTGTCTTTACTAACTTGCCCAAATCCACACAGTTAGGTAGCAGAGCTGGTATTTGATCCATCTGGCTCCAGTGTCTGGTGCTTAACCACTCTGCTGTGCTAGCCACCAGAAACTTAGTGGGTGAGTAAATTATGAACCTTTCTTTTTATTATTATTTTATAGTCATAAAAGTTATAGTTATGAAAGCCATAATAATAAGAGAAAAAAGCAGGATGCAAAATTACACACACATGCATATAATTATGATTACATCTAGTTAAAAAGATATATGCATAGGTATAAAAGACTAAAATATAAAACTCTGGTAAGTTAGGATGTGAAAATGTGGTGATTTTTTTCTCTCTTCTCTGTTTTCCAAATTTATCTTAAAGTGGCCATATTAAATTTACAATAGGAAAATGTGCTCTAAAATAAGCTTCCCATTTACCTGAAACATAAAGTTTCATTTCCACTCTCTTCTCCCCTATAGCTTTGTATAATCTTTAGAAGCCTCTTCTGCTCAATGAGTGACTTCATTACTAAATTGATGGCACCGGATCATTCTAGCTATGCAAATCACAAACCCACAGCCAGCTGAGGAAAAGGCGGATAAAAGATTACATTAAAAATTAAAGGAACGTGTGGAGATAATGTGCTTACAATTATTTCTACGTATTTAATATTTATGCAATTACAAAGCCAGTCATGGCAAATCTTAAACCTTACTCATATTCCTTTTGCCCTCTGATATTTTTGACCTTGAACTGAGACTGCCAAATAATATATAAAAAAAGGCCGTGGGAGAAGCATTTCCTTTGGCCTATAAATGATAAATGCTTTTTTCTTAGAAAGTGATCTCATTTCTTCCTAGCCTTTGTTTATTTTCAATGCCTTGTCTTTTTTTGCTCTGTTATATTCTGATCACCCTTGAAAGCACTGGGCTTTCAGTCTGCCACAGTTTGGTTGTGTTGTTTTCTGGTGCTGCTGCTGTGATGTGTTTTGTGTCAGAGGAAATTTACAGGCACATTAGCCTACTTGACAGGCACAATGAGCCACAAGGCTCTCCTAAGGAGAAGCTTCCTCGCGCTGTAGTGAGGTTTTCTCTCTCTCCACCCCACCCTCCCTCTTACACCTTAATACGCCACCATGATTCAGATACAAATCCCAACGGCTTTCACTTATGAGTATTGCTTTGGATCCTGAATTTAACTCTCTGGTTCCTGGTAACAGCATTTTGTTGGTTCTGCAGTAATTAATTCATATTTCTGCAACAATCTGACTACAGCAGTTTGTGGATAAAGCCAATGACTTCACTTACAGCCATATAGATACCAAGTAAGGAATGGGTGGGAAACTTTTTTTTCCTATGGTGAGTCATTGACATGAAGAGGGGAAAACAGCTTCCAAGAATTATATAAATGAAAGCAATATAATTAAATTTTTTAGAGGGTGTTTAGAGAGAAAATTCTGAAACACTTAATTTACTTTTCTCAGTGTGTCATAGGAAAATGGTCAACGAGAATCAATAAAACTTATTAAAATTTCAAAAACATAAAATGAGACATAACTGAAAGGGTAAACTGTTTTCTTGGCATATTCCAAATAAATTAGAGTATTTCCCTACAGCCATTGGGGAACTGAAGGCCTTGCATTTTCAGTTTCATGTATATTATGCTACCCCTCGGGGAGTAAATTTGCTAAGACATAGCAGTTCTGGTACATTCAGATTCTGACTTGATTCTAAGCTCTCTCTTCAATTTAAAATCTTCCAGGCCTTTTTAGTAATTTTTGAAGGGTGATTTTATTTTGAGAGCATTCCTTTTGTCCTTGGTATGTTTGAACCATAAGCATGTAACTGTGTAACCCACAGAAATTTAGAAGAACAATCCAAAATCACATACAAGTTTCTTGCTTGATTGTCTGGCAAGAAACAAAAATATTTACCAAGTCAATCCATAATATTACTCTGAGCTGCTCTATTTGTTGAATGAATAAATAAATGAATGAACCTTGTATTATCTGGAAACTAGGAATAGGTGATTTCCTGGTGGACTCACTCTTTAAAGAATTAGCTAGGAACATTCTCAGTTTGGCCCTGTCTTAGTTTAGGCTGCTATAACAAAAACTATAGAGTAAGTGGCTTATAAACAACAGAAATTTATTGCTCACACATCTGGAGGCCAGAAATCTGGGTGCCAGATGATCAAGGTGCCAGCATGGTTGGGTGAGGGCCCTCTTCTGGGTCGCAAACTCTTTGTTGTGTCCTTACATGGCAGGTGGAGCTAAAGAGCTCTGTGAGGGTCTCTTTTATAAGGTCACGAATCCCATTTGTGAGGGCTCCATCCTGATTACCTAAGCACCTCCCAAAGGCCCCACCCCCTAATACTATCACCTTTGGGAATTAGGATTTCAGCGTATGAGTTTTGGGTAGACACAGACATTCAGACCATAGGAGGCCCCCTTCCCCTTTTGTTCTTTCTGCTTGGGGCCAAGCTCTCCAAAGAGTTTCAGAATGGCCAACTATGGCTGTGTTCTCACCTGTCACCTCTGTCCCTCCCCATCCTTAAGAGGACAAATAAGACTTTTTCATTTCTGGCAGCCTGGTGGTCCTTGTAGAGTCTGACTCATTCCTCAGGCTCCCTAAGTGTGAAAGCAGATTCCTACCTTTAGAGTGGTCCTTCCTTAGTCTGGTTTTCTGCAATGACAGGGATTTCCCTCTCTGCCTTTTGCTCCTTGGTAATGACAGGAAGGATGTGGTGAGGGACTTAGTTTTCCATGTTGTCAGGATGACTAGACATCCCTCCAGCTAGTCCACAGCAAAGGCAAAGGCACCATTAATCCTCCCCATCATCTGGAAAATACAGAAAACCTGAAGAACAGGAATTATTTACCATCATACAAAGAAAACCGAGACACCAATCAGTGGACTTTTGTATACAGCCATTCTTTATCTAAAGGTCTTTAGAAACAGAATTCATTAATCTAGGGTGATTTGAATAAGATTCTTTCTGAAACAGGAGGCTAATTTAGATAACACCTCAAGGTGTCTTTAAACTCATGTTTTTGTTTGTTTTGTAATTCTCAGGGTCATAAAACAAGGGATAAATTTTCACTAACAATATAAATGTATGTCCACATCCCAAACCAGTGGGAGATTTTCTCTAATTTTAACACAGAATTATCTTAACAAATAATCATTAGACATCTACTACGTGCCAGGCAGGTCCTGCTGTAGATGCTGGAAATACAACATAACGTGGACATTAAACCTTCAATGTGCAGACTGCATACAGATGCTGAGAATTCTTTGGGTCCTCTGATGAATCCATTCACATTTTCTGTACCCACTCATACTTTAAACTGTACTCAAATAAGCTCTTTAAATCATGGGTTTCACTTGCCTCCTTGATCCTAAGACTAAATCAAAGACACTGAATTCCAGCTCCTTCATCCCCAACCCCAGCCTAGTAGAGGCATTTTTACTGGGATGAGTATATTCAGAAGTAGGATTTTATCATCTCCCCAAAGTCCTGAGGACTTTTTTCTTTCAGTACTGAGAACTCTTTACTGAAAGTCAGTGCCCAAGTGGATGAACTGCCAAAAAGGAGCCTAAAACATGGAAACATTTGCCAGTCTGGATGTCTGCACTCATAGCTATCTGGGGAGCTGCTGCAAGATGGATGGAGAGGGAAAATTACCCACCTGGAAGCCTGGCTGTCTAGAGAAAATCCAAACCCAGAAGCTTTTCTCCTAAGAATCCCTATGACATTTTATTCTTTAAATAAATCTTTTCTTCCTCTCCTTAGGTGAGAGATTGACATTTTAAGATCAATCATGCCTCTGCTTTGCAGGGTTGGTAGACGTAGAACAGGATAAATGGAAATTAAGTAAAATTTCCATATTTTTTTGAATAAAAATGCTCAAAATAGCTATATTCTAACTCAATATAAAAAAGCTCTTCCCCCAGTGGTCATTCTCATTACTATGGTTATCTCAAGACCTTTTGATGTCAAAATTTTACCCTATTTTCCCTAAAAGAACCATTCTGAACGTACACCTGCTGTTTGAATAGCAGCAGAAAGCAAAGGAATCTCATGCTATGTTTTTCTCCATCACTGCCAAGGATGTTTTAGTACTTTGGATGTAGTCACAGATTACCAGCTTTTCCAGCTCTTCCCCATCTTGAGATAAACTTCAGCTTGTTACTGTAGGCTGTAGTTGAATTCTTTCTTCCTGTTTTTATATTATTCAGTAGCCCCTCTTCTTGTTCATAATGGTCTTGTTAGCAATTGGCTAGCCTCTCCAAAGACCAGATTTGTTCAGTGTTTTTAATTAATTTAAAGTGATTTCTTAAAAATATTAAGGTTCTCAAGCCATTCAGTTATTCAATACACATTTATTGTGGGCCTACTATGTGCCAGGCATTGGAGTAGGTGCTGGGTACCATAGAATTCCAGGGAGCATGCTGTGGTCGAAGGAGCACTAGATGAGGGTCAGGAGGTGCCATTATAGGACCAGCCTTACCCCTGACTAGTGTGTAGGGTGGGCAGAGCCATCAGCCTCTGGGGTTCCAGTTTTCTCACATGCAAAATAAGAGGTGGAAAGAGCCGCTCTTCCTTTAGAATGTAACATTCTGTGATTGCTGCCGGTTTGTTTAACTCACTGCAGTGGAAACCCAGTGGCCTCACAAAGGTGAATGCTTTTATGTCTTCCCAAAGGGTCCTAATTCTAATCCAAGGAGCAGTTGCAGTGCTAAGATGAATGCCTTTCAAAGACCCAAGAAGACATTTAAAGAATGGGTTTTTCACTTTACTCTATATTTGAGCATGTTCTCCCCTAAAATGCCTGCCTACTTTTCAGTTCCTAGATACTGTAGGGAGTAATCTTCAGGTGTGGAGGGTCATTTAGAATTCCAAGCACCATTGTCTGATCTCCTCAGGATAATAATAAATCAGTTATGAAAACAAATGATGAGTCTAGATAATTCTGGACACACAATAGTGACAGTTTATTAGGGCATGTTAAAATGCCTAATTCTATGGCATTTCAGTAGTTCCAACAGTTTTCAAAGCATCTGAGACTCCCTATTATTACTATTTATTTGTGAGTATTGACAATAAAACAAATGCCTGCTGTTTGTA